CCATTATTCTATAAAGATGAGGACAATAGTCCAAATATAAATAATGCAAATAATGATAACTCCTCATTCCAGAAATTAAAAATGTAATTATATTTATTTTTCATTATATTCATTGTTTTCTAACAATGAATATAATGTTTTTTATTTACATAAATTCTATTCATTTTTTTTTATTTTATGTGAATCAAGTTTTGTCTTTCTTATGTAGATTTTGTTCTTGTGAAATAAAAAAATTTTTTTTCTGATGATGCTGGTTTCATGGCAAAGCATGTCAAAGTAGAAATTTTACAAATTGTCTTTTACCATATCTTTACCATGTACACACAAATACTAGAATCTGATAGGCAAATAGCCATTGTGTGACACTTTAGTTCAAGACAGTGAATAGATGCTCTGGTCCTAAGCAGGAACACTGATTTATATATAAATTGATTGAGTGATTTGTTTTCTATGGCTTATCAACCCTTTGCAGGTTATTTAAAGTCAGGAAATATCTTCAGATTGTAAGAATTTTTCTTTTTTTTTTTCAGATGTCAGATTTTAAAAAAATTGATTTAACACACACACATATATATATATATATATATATATATATATATATATATATATATATATATATATATATATATACCTGTGTAATGGGTTAAATATATGTGAATTATAACATTTTCATTTCATGTCAGAATTTCATCCCCACCTCAAACATTCATGTTGATTATCTTTGCCAGTCTTTTCTTTTATCCATAATTTCATTTTCATTTTATCCATTCTATAAGAAAAGCTGACGAAAACGTCTCAGCTTTTCTTATAGAATTGAAGTACTTTGTATAGTTTAACCAATTCATAAATTGTTCTGTGTTAATTTTAAAGAACCATTATATAAACATATCCAACCTGAAGTTTCAAGGCCAGCTTTTGTTTACTTAATTTTTTCTGGCTCAAATTTCCAGTTTTTAAGCTAACAATTTTTAATGTATACTTTTTTGTAATATTGTATTCTCTGTACATATCTCAAATGTTTCTGGTTATTACAAATGCCTAGATATTCCATTTTACTGATAGAGTAAAATGTACTTAAAATAAAGGCACAGCTCTACTTATGAACAAGATAGTTTTCTAGATTTTGTTTCTTTAGTCCAAATGTTCACAAGTACATAATAATGATGGTATTTGTAATATAATTTGTATTCTGTTTATTCCTGACACTGCCTTGTTTTCTAGAACTGATATTCAAACAAAAAGCATTTGTTCAGCCAAAATGTATTTCATCTCTTTCAGTTGATATCAAACAATTTGTCTTATTTTTAAAAAATTTTTTTCACCCCAATCAAAGAGGTTACTGGGAGTGAAGGTGAATGAGAAGACTTTAGTAAGGAGAAAGGGCAATAAAAGAACAGGGTTCAAGAAGACAGAAGATAGTGATTTATGTTGCACTTAAATTTTGGAAGATTGTAGGTGGCAGGGAATTAAGAAACCAGAAGAGAGTGCCAGAGATGAGATGTGCAAGAAAAGAAACTATTAGAACAGAACTTATGGCTATATCTAATTCAAGAGTAAAACAATAAGACCTAGTTGTCAAATCTAGTAGTATGCTTAAATTCATACAGTCAAGTTACCAAGAACGAAAGCAATTACTATGAAAATATTTATAGAAAAAACAGGGGGAAGCCACATCACGGTGATGGGAAAGTGACTGAAGTCAAGACATTTGTACATTTCTTCACTAGTGTCTTCTCCCACCAGTAAATCTTGTTGATTTATTTTCATGTAGCTAACAGTCTTATAGGGGAAGGCTTACTTTCTGCACTGCAACATCTTTCCCCCCCAGGTGCAATGTTACAAGCCTATTGCTACTCTATTCCTATTTCCATGGCAAATGTTCAAATGAGCTCCATTTTTTAGTTTTGTCAGTTCAGACTTTTACATCTAGGACATGATGCCTATGGTCTTGAACCACCTTAATTTTCTCTGTGTTCTATATGTAAGAAAGAAGTTCTGCACGGGCATCCTTTTTCCAAGAACTGCTACTTCGTGAAACAGACTTCTGCATGAACAAACACTGCAATCAACCTCTTTTAGTCAAGGGCCATTCATTACCTATCCTCCTTATCCTTATGATCTTCACTTCCTATCACCTCTTCTTACATTTATATCATACATCTCATTCAGTAACCCTCTTACTGGAGTGACTCTTGAGCCTTGTATCAGCTGAACTTTAGTATTAAAAAACCTCATTTTTACATTTTAGCATTCCTCTACCTCTTTCGAAGTTTTGCTGCTCAGTTTGAACAATTTACATTGCTACTGCTTACCAAGTAAGTAAAGGAGATTAAAAGCTAATATCTAATGATATAAATTATAGCATAGTATCTTACATATTAGTCTGTATCTCTGAAAGCTTGTAACTTGAATATGTGTAAGTAGGGAAACACCTGTACTTTAACTTTCATCATTGTTAAGCTTTCCAATAAAATAAACAATGAATTATGAAATCACTATAGATTTATTAGGTAACCATCTAAATCAGCACAAATTAGTTCAAATTCAAGATTAAACTCCTATATTCGATGGTTTTTAAAACCTGCTTTCTTTTCCCCAAAATGGCTAAAACAGTTGAAGAGAGAGGGTGTGCTTTAGAATTAAGGAAAAGACATATACAGTGGGAGGAAAGAAATATTTGTACACCATGACTTGTTTATTTAACATACATTTTATAAAAGAATTTTATAATCCATACAATATTTGTATACCATGCCATAAAGCTGCAATATGCAAAAAAAAAAATTCAGAAAAATTTGTGATATTAATGAAATTATATGGAATTAAAAAGTTTGAAAGCAAAAAAAGTATTTGTACAATATTATAATACCTATTTAATACTTTGTAGCATGTCCCTTACTCAATTCAACAGGAATCAGTCTCTTTCTGTAGCTTTTAATCAATAATTTGCAAGTTTCTGTTGGTATTTTACTCCATTCTTTTTTGCATATTCTCTTTAAAATGTTTTTCGGGGCTCTTTCATAAACTTGAATCTTTAATAAACACAATAAATTCTCTATTGGATTCAAGTCTAGAGACTATGATGGCCATTCGAGTGTATTGACATTGTTTTCAATTAGCCATCTTTTTGTAGATTTAGCCATATGTTTAGGGTCAGTATCTTGTTGCATTTGGGAGTCTAAGCTTTACTACTGACCAAACAAATTAGACTCCAAAACACCTTGGTATATTTTTAAATTCATTCTACCATCTATTATCTCTAAACTACCTGTACCGTTAGCAGAAAAGCATTCCCAAACCATGATATTGCCACCACCAAATTTCACCATTTCAGTTCTTTTGTGCAAAGACTGTGCTGTCTTTTCTCCAAACATGAGTCCTTGAATTATGCCCAAATAGTTCAATTTTTGCTTAACCTGTCCATGAAACACTTTTCCAAAATGATTCAGGTTTATTCTTATGCTCATGAAGAAATTTTAACCTGGCATCCCTATGTTTCTTCAATAGTAGTGAAGTTTTTCTTGGAGAATGCAATCTTAGTTGACTTCTGTGAAGTTCATTGCTTATTGTTGCCTCGTAACAATAATACCTAATGCTTTTAATTCTTCCTGTATTTCTCTCTGAGTAGTCATTGGATTTTCTTGAATTTTGTGCTGAATTCTTGTCATTGATCTGGGAGAAATCTTGTGTGGTGCACCATATCTCGATTTTTTTTCTCAACAGTTTTCACCTTTTTATACCTAGCACTGATAGAACTAATAATAACAAATGATATATTTAGGATATCTGCTATTTTCCTCTAGCTTTTGCCTTCCTTCTAATGTTTGACGATCATTTCTTTTTGTGAATTTGATAGTTCCTTGCCTTTCCCAATGGTGATAATTATTGTGTATGGTTTGTGTGTGGAGATAACCTTATATTAGAAATGAATCGTGGAATGTTCTAGATTATTCTGGTAATAAGATAATTGGAAGAATCTAGCAAAATCTTACAAACAATTATGTAAATAAAGGTAATTTAAGCCTTTTGATATAAAGACATATTTTGTACGAATACTTTTTTCGCCTCAAAATTTTATAAATAACAGATAATTTCATTTATAACAAATTTTTCTAATTGTTTTTTGCATATTGCTGCATTATGCAATGGCATAGAAATATTGCATAGATTTTAAGTTTTTTCATAAGTTATAATGTTAATTAAAAAATTTCATGATGTACAAGTATTTATTTCCTCCCACTTTATATGTATATTGAACCCTTATATGCAAAGTTGTCTATCAGTACTTGTACCTTGCATAACTCCATAATACTGTATTATTAAATGTTGGGGATGGTTTTAGAAGGCATCTAATACTGTATCTTTAATTATAAATTTCCTTTTAAATAATTAATGTTTTTTGATAGATCTGCTTTGCTGAAGATTTTTTAAACTTTCTAATGTTAACAGTTTGGATTCTTATAATTTTTATTTGGTCAGCTCTTTATGATTTGTAGTTATTTTGGTTAGAAACAAAGGAAAGATTGTTGGATTGCTATGTGATGTCCAGCCACTTATATGGTAGTGAATGCTGGACAGTCTCTCCACAGATGAGGAAAAATGGAAGCAGCAGAAATGGGTTTCTACAGAAGGATACTGAGAATTCCATGGATGGAGTAAGTAAGCAACAAGGAAAATAGCAACAGAAAATATCAACTCAGAATCAGGAAAAGATGGCTGAAATTTCTTGGGATGTGATTGATTGATTGATTTAGTCTTTTACACCTTATCAACACTACAGGTTTTAAAGCCAGAAAATATTTTTAGATTGTAAGAATTTTTTTTGAGATAATAACATTTTAGTGATACAAGTCTTATTAATTAACCCATAGCTGGAGGTAGAAGAGGTGGATTCATTTGTTTCCAAGCCTTTCATAACTAACACAACTGAAATTGGAATTTGGCTCTTTGATTAACAATCCCACGCCATTATTCATTAAACCACCCGCACATCCAAGTTTTCATCACCTGGTATTCCCAAGTGATCACCCATCTAGGTACTGACCAAGCTCAACATTGCTTAACTTTGCTGATCATGTGGGAACCTGTGTTTCAAAACTATATGGCCGTAAGTCCTTGTGGAAAGAAAGGATGAATTCATGCCTTTCTAAGGGTATTAGTGCAAACTAAACACAACTGCTTTAGTTGCAATGTGAACTTAGTTTGCCAATTCCATTTTCTATGCTGACAACTGTTATGCCACCCACACATCCACATTCATTTTATATCGTAGCTTTTATTCATTTTTATATTATTCATATTAAGCTTATTAATTTAGATAAGATTGTGCCTGATTTGGTTTTAATTAAATTTTGCAAATAAAAATTATCAAGAAAGGCATATTTACAGTAAGAAAGCCAACCAAAATTTAATGCCAGAGCCATTTTAGAGTGGACCATTGTCCAAAAAGAATTAATGGATAGACATTTAATTCTGACCAAATAAAATGTTAACGTTGAACACTCTGAATCCTGTATTACCGATATTAATCAATCAGTGTTACCAACGTGCCAAATCAATATAGTCAATTGGTATTACCTATGTAAGTCTGCTCGATCCATCTAAAATTCACCTATTCTCTTCTCTTCATGTGATTTCCAAGCAACCCTCAATCGGTTTATGTAGGCAAGGTTCTGTCTGTCTTCTCATCTCTCTGTGAAACTATTGATTTTTTTTTCCTCACTGTCAATCTCGTTATTTGCCCAGTTATTGATCCATCTCTTTGCCAATCTATTTTCTCTTCTATTGATTGGTTGATTGATTTATCTGTTGATTTATCTATCCATGTAGTCAGCCAAACGGTTTGTTTCTGTACATATGTTCATGATATTCTGATTCAAGGTTTTAATTTAATACACAAGATTCAGGAAAAAATTCTTTTGATAGATGTGCTTGTTAATGTTGTTCACAGTTTTTCTTTTCTCTCTGAGTCTTTCAAAATAAATGATAATGTTTCAGTAAGTAATTGTAATTTCTTTTATAAAATGGTAGAATTATCATTTTTATTAAAGGAAAATAGATACAAATAGTGTTTTTTATTACAATGATGTTCACTCTGTACAAGGCCCAAGAAACACTCAAGGTAGAGGGTTACAGAGTAAGAAGTAAAGTTTATAGGGATAAATATAATTATTTTCTGACAATCTGGTTTTGCTTCAAATATAAGTGATAATGTTTCAGTAAGTAATTGTAATTTCTTTTATAAAATGATAGAATTATCATTTTTATTAAATAAAAATAAATACAAATGTTTTTTTTTTTACAATGATGTTCACTCTGTACAAGGCCCAAGAAACACTCAAGGTAGAGGGTTACAGAGTAAGAGGCACAGGTTATAGGGATTATTATTTTGTGACAACTAAGATTTAATAAATTGGGTTTATAATCAGTCAATAATATTTTAAAATCTGTTATTCTAAGAATTGTTCAGACTGTTATCTCATTTTCCTTATTGCCTTTGTAGTTACATCAATGTTTTGACTTATCTATTTTCTGGCCTTTTTCAGATGTACAGAAATTTTCCTTTTTGCTTTTTAGCTAATGCTCACCAGTACTAAAAAAGAACTGGTGACAAATACTGGATTAGCTGAAATATAATAATAAAAAAAACAGTTTTCTGAACAAGTCTTAGAACAATTATTTATCTAAAAGTTATAGAATATATCCTCATCTTTGTTTATTTAATGTTTTCACCGTTTTGGTCAGTTCTCTACTCATCATCATGTAACTATAGTATCTAGTAAATAGTCTTAAATTTCATTTTTTATAAAACTGTTTCTAATCTGGTAAATCATCTCAAATGCTTTTAATTCTCTTTTTTTATTATTTTTAAATAGTTAACAACAACCAAGATAATTTAAATCTATACTACACATGCTACCTGAAGATGGTTGGAAATGTGACCAAACAATAATTGTTCCCTACAAAATCATTATGAAGCAAAATGTTTCTAAAACCTTCAGACAAAAATTAGGTGTGTAACACAGCCTTGTTGAAATAGCAAAAGAAAGCCTTATTAATCCACTGTAATTCACTGTAAAACCTGGTATAATATATTACCTACCTGTACCTGTTGCAACATTTACCTGGTCGGTCGTGTCGGTGCTGTCAAAAAAAATGGCCGCATCTGAAAGAAGGGTGACCAGGCATAGCAGAAGTCATATTCATTCAGACGTGCATATCCATAGTAGAAGTTTCAGTATGAATTGGAATTCATAAACGGTCCCCAGGTGCATGTATATATAAACATTTAGGATAGTGCAATTTGGTTTGAATTCAGAATTTACTTCTTCTCGTCTGTCCTGTTATTTTACATAGCTGGTGGGGTAGAGAAGAGATGAATTCATACCTTTCCCAAGAGTATTAACATGTAAGTGAATAAGTGGAATTTGAACTCTACTTTCCAATCTGCAATCTGAACCACTAACCTTTATTCCAATGTGTTTCCTTATATTATATATTATAAAATATATATATATATATATGTATTATAAAAATTAAGTTTCTAAAAATTCTGGTATTAATAGTAGTTTTATAAAAATTTGGTATTATAGGTTTCTACCTATAACCCATTAATACTGGCTGCTGCCAAAATGGGACAGTTGGTATTAATGGATTAATATATAAGTTAGATTAGTAAAATGATCATTAACCATTCTGCAGATGCTATCATCTTTTTGGTTTTACTAATTAATATTTTGTAACTAATTATCAATTGTTCTTGTTAGTAATAAGAAAGAAGCAGATAGGTGTGAATTGCCTTATTAAAATCTACACATCCCCTGATTGCAATCAGTATCGATCTTTTTACAGACGTCTGCTGGAAAAGTGCTAAAAACAAATGGCTGGGCCTTGTCCATTTTCTGAGGTTTTGCAACTGTTCATTATTAAAACAATCAATTTTGAATTGCTGTTTTTTCTAGCTTTCGTTAACCAAGTAGTATAGAGATATAACATATCGACTGATATACTGGTATTATGCATAGGATATAAACACAAAAAGGTTCAAGTTGTTTGGAATGAATTACTGTAAGAAATGCTCTTGTAATTCAGGTATCATCTAAGCTGGCAAACTAGGTAATAATCTGTTCAGTTCATATCCTCCTTGTATCAGTTTAAACTGACTTGTTTTATTTCCTCATACATTGTGACCATTTTGCTTAAAATTTGTAATTTCTTTATTTCTGATGAAAACTTAAAAATTTTCTAAAATATTTCAGTGAAATTTTCACTTTCCAAAATTATAGATTGCAATTAAAATATAAATATTTGCTAAAATTAAGATGTCAGTTTAAAATGATGACAGGGGATATGGGCTAAGCTCTTTATAAAGTAAAGGAGCTTACTCCATATCCTGGATTGACCACTTCCTTTAAATTCTTATGAGGGGCTATTATAGATCTCTTTTTGAGCTTGTTTAATCAAGAATCATGACAAATTCTTCAGACTGCTCATTGGCATACATGACCTTATTTATTTATGGTATGGCTTTTATGGCTTCTTCTATTTTAGTAAAGATATGGGAAATCTGTCATAAAAAGAATCAATAGAATAGTCATGTTTCTTATAAAACACCTGCTTGCTATATTTATTATTCTTTTCTTTGAAAAGGAATTTTTCCCAGTGCAAATATGTATATGCATCTAAAAACCATACATTCATTAAATGTCGACTTTAGTAGTATTTTAACAAAACCTTTAGCTAATGACTCAAACTTGGATATAGTTTTAGGTGTCATATATATCATTGTATCATCAGTGACAAAGTTTGATACCCAACTACTACTGATGACATTTGAAATGGATCTGATAAAACTGCTCGATTACACTCATTTCATCTTAAGGTGAATACTATTATAAAGCAAATATATGTACTGTTTGGTACTTGAATTTCCTTCATATGCATTTATTTTTTACAGCAGAATTACACAAGCATGTTCTTTGTTCGGTATTAACTGACATGGTTTAGATCAGGGGCCATTTTGTGCTGAGGGTGAGGTGCAGCAGGTCAGAAGCAGGACTCCCTTAGGCACAAGTTTCCAATCAGGGGTCATGAACCTAGAAAGCTGAATTAAATTAGTTCGTAATTTTGAGTGAAAGGAATTGTAAAAGAGAGAGGGGATGCAGGCAGGCAGGCAAGATTTTACATGTATTTCAGTTGTTTGTATTTATTAAGTCAGTTATGTGCCATGTGTGATACACGCTTAGGCCATCATGTATCTTTTGATACATGACTGACAAGGCAGATTTTTTTCCTGCAGTAGGTTGCCATTTCTTTCTGCAGTAGACCAGTTGCCATCCAAAGCTATAGAACCCAGTCTGTCCTTCTATTTACCTATAGCTAGAGGGAGAAGAAGAGCATTCATACCTTTCCCAAGGGTATTAGCACGTAAGTGAACGTAATGGATTGAACTCGGCTGTCTGATTCCGCAATTCGAACCACTATCTATTACTCTACCGTGCCTCCTCATTTAGTAAGTACAGCTTTAAAAAAAAAATGATGTATAATTTCTCAAATGCATGACAGCCGATAACCCTTATCAAAAAATATAAATATTCCAACTATTCATGAAAAGTTTCCTTTGCTGCAATTCTTATTTTCTTTGACATTGTCGACATTTTCCTTTTTTGTTTCAATTATGTAGTTGATCAAAAACACGTCTTACTTCCTTGAAATTTCTGTTTATTTAACAATCTTCTCTAACATGATTTTCCATTGTTTGTGTTTATTGTCTTTAACTTTATGTACCCCTTTCACCTGAATATTTTATCAAATCTATTCTTTCTCTTGTCATGAAAAAAAAATCCTCATTTTCTTTTGTGTGTCTGACAGATTATGTGTCATCTCAGCTACACACCCCTACGCCAATATGAGTAGCCAAATTTATCCCTTTTCACCTTATAAAAAAAAAAAAGAAGACTTTCTATTTCCTCATGCGTGAGTTGTATCACATCTTAATAATAATCATTAATTCTCAAAATACAGGACAATCCTGCTTTTTGTAGGATGGTTGTCAACCCTACTCATGTCTGTCACAAAAGACAAATATTCCCACTTTTCTTGAAAAGTTTGG